ATTTTCATCATTATATTACAGCAAAGAAATCTTTGACTTTCGAATGACTCTAATCTATTCCAGCTTTTAACAAACATAGGCAGTTTCGACAGCTCGCTTTGCTCTGTTTCGAAACTATGATGAGTCATAATAAATGACAACGAAACTGCATTTGGTTTTAATCGGTCTTGATATATTTGCAGTGAAAAACTCACCGAAAGATTTGATTTTTGTTGACTATCAGAATCATCATTCAAGTGAATTGAAATCAGCCCTTATTATATATTTTTCATAACACATTCCATATTCTTTTTCATTCATTTCAACTATTCCAATAATTAATAAAGATCAAACTGTTTGGTAAGTTTCACACTGAGAACATTTCTATATCCACTAAAACTAAATTCAGCTTGTTTCTCATCTGTTATAATTCAGTCGAATGTTAAAAATTCGTCAGAAGAGGTTGCCGAAGCAATTTATCTTTTTCTCCTTGGTAACTTTGTGGCTAGCTTCATAATATAGTGCTCGTTATGTTTTTGAAATAGGTCAACACATACTCATAGGCTGCATCTAAATGCATGGAATCAATTGAAGATAAACAATATAACAAAACAAGTGGTGTAACTCCTTTGTTTGTTTCAACATATGTCACAACACTAGATAAACATCGATCATTTCAAGATTTATTTACAGTCAAATTTCTAAAATTATTAAATCTTGTTGAATTATTGGTAGAATAGTAAAAAAAGCATTACGTGTATTAACACAATTCAAAACCGAAAATGACGAACTTAAATATTGCAACAGAAATAAAACAGGCAAATTAAACACATAAGTACTAATTATTGTGATTGAATTAGTAGTATATATAGATATATGCACATAGTATTTCGATTCATCTTTTTTTAAAGATATTATAGTCGCATTGGTTAAGACCACCATAAGCTATTGTAGAAAGGACTATTACCAGTAAATGTGTTGATAATGTACATGTACCAATCACTGTTTCATATGCCAGATTTATTTCTAATATTATGTGGTGAGGCGATTGGCAAATGATACAATGAATGATACGCATATGAAGGAGAGAAGGACAAAGACATTAATAAATATATTAATCTTCTTCAAGCAACTTTCGCATGAAAAAAGTTCCAAGAAGACCAAAGGATCTTTTTATGATTTAAGCAATTCTTTTTTCTTCCATTTTTATTCTCTGAGAAGCTAACTATTTTAATAAGCTTTATCTGTCACTACAATACAGCCTGCTTATGGCGGAAAAAAAAAGAAATATAAGAGTGTTTGGATTGTGAAGAGTTTTAAAAGCTTGGTACAAAATAAAGAGTTCAAATTGTAAACCCGTTGTATATCATAGGTTTTTCAAATCAAATTTGTTTGAAAACCTAAGCTTTTATTGACAAAAGACCTTATAAAAGTTCAATGATAATGAATATACATTCATAATCTTCTTTCGAAACTTGTTCTAGTCGAATGAACTTTGCAACGTTAACCATTCATCTTTAGTTTTTTCTGTGGTATTATTAGATTATGTTACCACGATTTGTAAGTCAAAGTATGTTTCGGTAAGGAAAAGAAATCTTAAAACATGAGACTTGAATATCGCTTTTAGATCAAATGAGCAGCCCCTTATTGAACAGGAGCTGGTCTCCGAATCGGTCTAGGAATCGAAAATACTACACAATATAGCTTTAATCTCCGTGTTGGCTCATGGCATCATATAAGAGTCTTTGATAGATATGCAACTTTGGTCGCGCATGTATAGAAAGCCCAATGTATTATTCAAATCTGTTTTGAATTCTTCGAAACTAATTTTTATTTTACTATTCGAAAAAGATCTACTATTTTTTTTCTTATCATTTTTGATTGTGAGTGTCAAAATCATGGAAGAGAATACTTACATTCCACGTTGGTCTTTCAGGGCTTGAGTATACCATTTAGAATTCTCAAACATAATGAATGTTGATAGATTGGATCCTGTGGGTAATTGGTGCTAATCAGCTTAGTACTCACGTTCAAGCATACTTTATAGATGAGAAGTTATCTGACTAGAGATTTTTCTCGATTAATAATTAAGATGAATATTTATTAAGATAAGTACAGCATACTTTTTTTCATTAACACTCAAAAACAGTTCTGGAGACTAAATGAGCAGATTTATGGAAACGTTACGTATTCTCATCGCATTTTTCACAAATCTTCTCAGTGGACTATATGAAGTTCATAAACTGCCTAACCATTTATTTTCAAAAGCTTTTGAAATGGTTTATGAGATTTTCATAAACACTAGAAAATGGTTTCTTCTACATTACATTTTCGTCGATTCTTCAAACAATTAGTATTTTGAAGATTTTCTCACACTGAATAATAAGCACACGATGCTTTAGATCTTGATAACGGAGGAACTACGCTGACAGATTTTCTCTGTAATACAGTTGCAATTCATTTAGATATTTCGCTTTAGTTTTGATTATTATCAATAGATCTATGACGATAGTTTGGCAAGATTTAGTTCACTAATAAAAAAAACAAGAATTGACGGGTTTAAATTTTCACAGAAGAGTATACGAAGAAAAAGAGCGAATCATTGAGTACATGAGTAAACTGAACGATACCTAAACTCATACCTACACTCTGACTTATTTATTCAGAACTTTAGTATATAGTTTGAGAATGTTTTCAGGAGAAGTCGAATCATGACCCAAAATATTCTGTGTTTGATGTTTATTGATCGGAAAAACTATTTGAACGACAGAGGTACAATAATTATAGTTCTTAACAAAAAACATGGAATGAACTCGATGAAAACACGTGTTTCAATCAATGATTTCAAAGCAGATCGATTTTTTCTTCATTATAATGATGTCAAAATGCGGCGAAGTGTGAAAGAAACTTAATATTTATGTATTACAAACTGCTTGTTTCCTTACAAGCAAAAGAAAATGATGATTGGTTCCTAATGATGATGGGTTGTCAGATGGTAATTCTGATAAATGCAAAACGAAATAAAATAACATACATGTAAATATTATCTAGAGAATCATACTCTGCAAGACTAAACTGGCTTCGTAGTGCAAATGAATCTATTCTTGTTTCCGTATAGCACCAGTCAGTCAAGAACAGGAGCTACTTGTGCGTCCTTGTATTCGTTTTTTTTTATCACAATAATTATCTAACCATGCTTCATCATGATGAAACCAATCATCATTTTCTTTCATTCTTAAGGATGGACATGGGTGGATGTGGGTGTGGTTGTGGGTGGGTATGGGTGCGGGTATGTGGAAGTGGGGTGGCTGGGTGTGGTTGTGGATACGGGTGCCAATGTCGGCGTGAATTAATACTATACAGCCACAGTCACATCTCACACCCACACCCCTCAAATTTATCAAATATTTCTACTTGATTCACCTTCTCAAATTATGAAAAAAAAAGATGGACGAAAATTGTGTTAGAAAATAGTTTCGCTACATTTAATCTTCTTCAACTAGCAATATTGCTACAATCAAAACCAAACTTAAAGAACAAATATTTTTACCAGATAGAATAATTGATGCCTTTGCTGCTTCTCCTTAAGCTTTTTACCCAACCATGAAAGTTTTATTGAAAATCTGTACAACTCTACCAATGACAACAGTAACCACAAAATAAACATTCTCTCTTCTAAAATTACTGAAGAATTATTTAGGCTCGACCAGGTTGAAAACAGAACTTCATGGATTAGCTATGATGTATATTTATCGAGATTTATATGCAAATATTCATGCTGGAATTGATCAATTCCGAGAATCTAATCGTTGATTGATTTTTTAAAATTTACTGCTAAAATTTGTGTCATAAACAAGGTTGTGTTTTCTCATGAATTTATAGATTTACTATTTAAAACGGAAATAAGGAATTTTGAGAAAATGAAAACACTACACTATCTATTTTCATAAAAACTCATACTACCTCGACTGATATTATTTAGAAACCGCTATCCTCTTTCTAAAATTCTGGATCCACCATTGCATGGAATCCTTGTTGAAAATGGTTATGAGAACTTTCTGATAAGTTATTTAGATGGCATAATAAAGCCGTATTGCATCCAGTACTCTTAAAAATAACTATTATCGATAATCAATATTTTTAAACGTAGTCTAAAACTGTTAGGCGAAGGTGTGGATGCTGATGTTGGTATATTGTGTGTGAGGACAATGCACACACTCATACCCACCAAGAAGAAAAAGAACTGGGATGAAAAATCTAGAAGCTTTCTTTGTTTGCACGCACATGCCACACTTATCATAAAAAAAGAACGAAAAAGTAACTTGAGCATTTTCAATCGGTTGCAAAATATGATTCATTATATGTTGATAGAGAAAAGAAAGTAATAAACTATAATTAGAAGATAATGAAAAGGTTATTAAGAACAGTTTTACAAGTTAACTGTTCATGAAAATAAACGTCTCGAACAAAACTTTTGAAAGAAAATTGAATCGTGTCGAATGTGTTAAGATTTCTTCAGTACATAGTTTTTGCATACTTCTACGTACTAATAGATCCTGAACATACTTCATGTATTCCTTAAGAAGGGACCAAAAGTCGTATTCTGCTTTGAATCTATTTACTTTAATTAATTCATCCCATCATCACCTCACATCCACATCTACACGCCAATCGCAACGAGATGAAGAAAGCAAAGAAAAAACAATTTGTAACTAGTAAAAGTTCTTTGGCCGCTTAAATTTCACTTTAAAATTGATTTTTTATTTCTTTTTGATGTTTTTTCTTATTGGTATGGTCGTCGTTCTTTTTCGTATTCCTTTTATTCTATTTACTTTATAGAAAAAAAAGGATAAATCAACAATTTTCTGAATTTCTGTAGCAACAAGTTGGAAAAAAACCAGCTTACCAATAAACTTCATAAAAGATCATATAAGTAGAACGCGACTGAATCCTGTCTACTGCAATATTACCATCAAACGAACAAGAAAGCAGTGAAGATAACCAGAGCTGAACCATAGATAATGGATACAACCAACAATGAAACTACTTTCCGGCGTCCTCAACGTGCTCATCGTCTCTTGAAAAATCTGCGATTAATTTGGCTTGATGCCAATTTCAATGATCTCAATGATAACTTTAAAGCGATGATACAATATGTACAACGTGTTATGCCATTAATCACGCACTTTACAGATGCTGATGAATGTATCGAATTCATCAAAGAGATCAGCGATGAAAAGGTTTTCATAATTGCCAGTGGCTATTTCGGTAAATACATCGTTCAAATAATTCATTCGTATCCGCAAGTGAAATCAATCTATATACTTTGTGGTAATCAATCAATCCATAAAAAATGGACTAAAAACATCCATAAAGTTAAGGGCGTGTACACAGAAATCGAGCCAATTTGTAAAGCTCTTCAGATCGAGAAAGAAAATAATGATCGAGAAGTGGCAGTGAGTGTTAGCGGTATCGATCCACTGTTTCTGTACACGCAACTTATGAAAGAAGCCATAATGGATGTTGAGGATGATGATAGTAAATCGGTAAAAGACCTTGCTGATTTTTGTCGTCTTCAAGATGACATATCTGAGATGGAGATCAAAATGATCGAAGAGAAATACCATACCCACACGTCCATATAGTGGTATAAGTCACTTTATTTTTTGTATTCAGTACTCAATCGTGGACTCCGCGAGATGAACACAGATATTATTGTAAAAATGGGCTTCTTCATACTCCATTTACATAAGCATATTGAGAAAGTGTATCATGAGCAACAATACAAAACGAACCGTATAGAACCTTTTCAGGTTTATCGTGGTCAAGGACTGCCAAAGGAAGTCTTCGAAAATATGAAAAAATATGAAGGAAAACCTATGTGTTTTACTAATTTTCTCTCAACGAGTGAAGACAGAGACGTTTCATTTGCATTCGCGGATTCTAACACAGAAAATCCGACTTACGTTGGCATCCTGTTCGTTATGCATATTGATCCGATTGTTTGTAAAAACTCTTCTGTTCCTTTCGTCACCATTACAAATGAAGGATATTATGAGAATAAAGAAAATGAAGTTCTCTTCTCCATACACACCATCTTTCGAATCAATCGAATAAAACAAATCGGCGCCAATGATCGTCTCTATGAGGTGGATCTCACTATTACGGGCAATGATGACGAGGAGATGAACAAACTTACTGCTCGAATACGAAAAGACATTGAATACTACTCGAGTCCAGGATTTCAGAGACTAGGTACGATTCTACTTAGAATAGGAGAGGCACAAAAAGCGGAACGTTTATTCATGGTATTACTAGAAGAAGCCTCGACTGAACAGGATCGTGCTTATTATTATCATCAACTCGGTTACGTGTACGACGACACCGGTGAATACGAAAAATCGATTACATTTTATGAGAAAGATATTGCGTTTAAAGAGAAAACACTGCCTCCTAATGACCCTAAAATAGCTAGTTCCTATAATAACATTGTTGAAGTATATCGAAAGATGGGCAATTTTTCGAAAGCCCTTTCATCACATAAAAAAGCACTTGAAATCCGTAAAATAGTTCTTCCTTCGAATCATCTCGGCTTAGCTCAATCGTATAATAACATCGGCGTTACCTATTACGAAATGGGTGATTACTCGACAGCTCTTTCTTACTACGAAAAAGATCTTGAGATCATCCAGAACGCACTTTCTTCGAATCACCACGACTTAGCAAGATCTAACGGTAACATTGGTATGGTGTACCAAGCCATGGAAAAATACAATGATGCTCTAAAATACCATCAACGTGCACATGAGATCTTTACAAAGACTCTCCCTCCAAAACATCCCGATTTGGCCATGCCATACGGAAATCTTGGTCTTCTTTATCACGAACAGGGAGATTACAAAACGGCAGTAACATATCTTGAAAAAGCACTGAATATATTCCTCCAGACTCTTC